CATCCCCCCCAACCACCCCTCCATCCCCGGTTCATTCTGGTCACCTTCTGTCGCCACTTGCCAGCTGACTGCTTGCAGCTGGGATGTGGACATAGTTATTAGGCCACCAATACGATCTTTCACTTAAAAAAAATTTTTTTTTATTGATTTCAAAGAGGAGGGGAGGAGAGAGAAATATCAATGATGAGCCCTAGCCGGTTTGGCTCAGTGGATAGAGCGCTGGCCTGCGGACTGAAGGGTCCCCGGTTCGATTCCTGGTCAAGGGCACATGCTCAGGTTGTGGCTGGATCCCCAGTGGGGGGGTGTGCAGGAGGCAGCCCATTAGTGGTTCTCATCACTGATGTTTCTGTCTCTCCCTTTCCCTTCCTCTCTGCAATCAATAAAAATATATTTTTTAAAAAATAAAAGTTTAAAAACCAAAAAATACCTGCCAGTTAGGGATGCCAGGCTGGCATCAGCCCCAGAAGGTCCAGTGGCAGCACTGCCACCTCTAGGACGACTGGGCGCCGGAGCAGAGGTGGTGGTGCAGGGGTGAGCGAGGCCGGTTGGAGAGGCCGCTGACCTGAGCTTGCTACAGGTGTTTTTAGGTAAACCAGGCCTGAGCCCCCAGTAAGCCCCGAACCCTGAGATCCAGGATGCTCGCATTCCATGCCCGTGAGAGATGAGGGCTCAGCCAAGGTGGAACGCGGACTTGCCTGCCCAAGGGCCGCATTTTGTGGTGGTCACGGTGGCTTAGTTTCATTTAAGGACAGGGGCGATTGCAGACTATACAACGACACCGAAGCATCCGGTCCTCCCCGAGATTCGGCATCCCCTGGCTAAACTGGCCCGGGTAGGAAACGGGGGCGGCCCCGCGCGTCTGCGGACGCGGGCCGGAGGGAGGCCGGTTGGAGGGGGTGCCTACTCCGCTTGTCAGCACCGTCTCCCTACCCCGGCCGGGCCCTGGGAATCCACGGGCGGGCTGGGCGGGCGTCCCGGGGACACGGGACCTGGGACTTTCTCCCGCTCCATTCTCTGGCCTGGAGCGTGTCTGACAACCTACGCGGAGGAAAAGCTGGTGCCCGCGGTGGAAACCACAATCGTGCTCCGCAAGGTGCGCTCTCGGGACCGACCCGCTGGGGGGTGGGCGAGGCGAGCTCCCACGGACAGGGCTCCGATCGATCGGCGGCCGGACGGTAACGCACCGTGGGTTTCATCACTAACCTCCGTCCCCACTCTCCGCGCCTGTTTTTGCGGAGGGGGCCATGGGGCAGCCCAGCGGCCAGGCGGCGCACAGCTGCCAGCAAGCTGTGGGGAGCAAAGTCCTCCGCGCTCCGGTCCGCGCCGGAGAACTACAACTCCCAGGGTGCCCCGCATCGGGCGACCAC